TTTATCCCAGTACTCACGAAGATCTCTGAGTTTGAGGCCAGCCTGATCCACTGATCTACAGAGTGAGTTCCAGCCAGGGCTACACAGAGAAATCCTGACTCGGAAATTAAAAGAGAGAGAGAGAGAGAGAGAGAGAAAGAGGTGAGGGGTGGGTGGGGATTTTTCCTTTGTTGCTTTGTTTTATTTTTACTTTGTTTTGTCTCATTTTTGAGTTTTTATTTTTTTGAGGACGTTTTCAAACCTACCATGTAGCTTAGGTTGGGCTCCAACCCATATCAGGTCTCTTTCCTCACTCAGCCTTCCCTGTACTTCTCTTTCCTCACTCAGCCTTCCCTGTACTTAGGGAGCGATCTTGAAGGCGTTGAGCATTAGATGTGGGGATTGGCTGTAGAGCTATTGGGAGTGGCCAACGAGATGTGTAGGCCAGAAACTTTAACTCTGTTGCCTGCAGTCCATGGAGACCTGATTGTGGGTGTGGGCTATAAAATAGACCAGTTCACCGAGTTCTCTTCCCACAGACATGGCCAACCTGTCACTTCACGACCATGATGGCTCCAGTGGCGCCTCTGACCAGGACACACTGGCTCCTTTGCCGCACCCAGGGGCTGCCCCTTGGCCTATGGCTTTCCCTTACCAGTACCCACCACCGCCTCATCCCTACAACCCACACCCAGGCTTCCCAGAACTGGGCTACAGCTACGGCGGGGGCAGCGCCAGCAGTCAGCACAGTGAAGGTAAGTCAGAGACCCGGCCAGAAGGGATCTGCAGGGGACCCAGGCCACCTCTGCACCTCCGTCCTGGGCTCGCTTCTTCCCTACAGGCAGTCGGAGCAGTGGCTCCAATCGAAGTGGCAGCGACCGGCGCAAGGAGAAGGACCCAAAAGCCGGGGACTCCAAGTCAGGTGGTAGTGGCAGTGAGTCAGACCACACTACACGCAGCAGTCTGCGAGGGCCTCGGGAGCGGGCGCCAAGCGAGCGCTCGGGTCCAGCAGCCAGCGAGCACAGCCACCGCAGCCACCATTCGCTTACCAGCAGTCTGCGCAGCCACCACACGCACCCGAGCTATGGCCCGCCCGGAGTGCCCCCTCTCTACGGTCCCCCAATGCTGATGATGACCCCACCACCTGCAGCCATGGGGCCCCCAGGAGCCCCTCCAGGCCGTGACCTGGCCTCGGTGCCCCCGGAACTGACGGCCAGCAGACAGTCCTTCCGCATGGCAATGGGAAACCCCAGTGAGTTCTTTGTGGATGTGATGTGATCAGGGTCCCTCTCCCGCCCCCAACCCCCAGTCGGCTGCATCCCTTTCTCCATCAGTCGGTCTTTTTTTTTTTTTTTTTTTTTTTACTTTGGTACCTGAAAGGGAAATAAATGGAACTAACTGCTACTGCTTGCAGGTAGCAGCAAGGATGAGGGATCTCTGCTCATCCATGCTACACCCCTAACCTGCCTCTGGCCCAGCTGGTGCCTCTGCCCACTAACCAGCCCCCATTCCACCCAGTTCCGGGCTTCCCAGGATTTTTTTACGTCCCTGGCTCTGCACTGCTGGTCTTCTTGCTGCTCTGCTCTCACACTTAGGAGCTGACCAGTGGTGCCACACCTTGTGCCCACTTCTCTCCCTTCGGTACCCTTCTGCCCACTTCCTCAAGCATGTATGCAGAGGTCTTGATTCTACCCCACCATAGTGACACCAAAAGTGGTCTCTCCCTTTCTAACCGTCCTGCCTGCTGCTTCAGTCCTTCACCCTCCAGCTGTAGCCACCTCTACTAGGCATCCATGCTGTCTGCCCCTGCTTGGACCCAGGCCCAAGAGAGCCCAGAGAGTCCCCTTCTGGTTCCAGGGCCACTTGTGGCTTCCAGGGACTATCTCTGCTGGGTCTGGACCCCCATCCATACCTGTCCTGTGTGCTGGTTCCCTCAGATCTAACTCTACTAACCAACAGGCTCATCTAACTTCTGGGCCTGAAACTTTTTTCTTCTTTTTTCTTCCTTCAAATTTCCCTGGGCCTGGAGCAGCCAAGAATTTCGGGCTCTTTGACTTTCTGTGAGCCCCCAGGAAAGGGAGGCCCTTCCTCCAAGGAGACCAGGAACTCTGCTTCAGCAGCTCCTCGGGCTTCCCAAGGATGGCCAGGCCCCACACCCACACTGCAAGGTCACTAGGCTTCTGGGAAGAACCTCAGCCTCTTTCATGCATGACAGACTGTTCTTTCCAGAGAGAAGTAGAGAAGTTTGCTCCCCCCCCCCAACATACACACACATAGATACACACTCGTGGCTCATCTCACACACATGCACACGAACACGCCTATGCAAGTTTACGTAAGCTTCAGGGCTGGTCCCTGCCTAGAGGGCTGGACCCTTTCTCCAAGTCATCCTGATAGTAGGGCTGGTCCCTGGCTGCCCTTCCTGCTAGCCCTCAAGCCTCCCACACATGTTCCTAGTACCTTTGTACTTGGATAAAGCCCAAAAGCTGGGGCTCAACAGAGGTACCTGGCAGGTCACTCTTCCCGCCTGCACCCACATATCCTTATGCCCTGTTCTGCCTTCATCTTCACCATGAGAGCTGGGAACAGAGTCAGGAAGTGCAGACCACTTGAAGTTACGAAAGAAGACTTCTGGGACTTCCACACAGTTCGTTATTTTAACATTGTTTTCCACCGTAGATCACAATATTCTCTTTAAAGCTCTCCTATAAACTCTACTGATTTACCCAGACTCTTATTTTCAGGGCAGAGGTATCAGCTGGGGACATAGCTCTGTAGTGGAGTGCTTGCCAGGTATACCCTGGGTTCATCCCCAGCAAATGCCTCCCCTATCAAGATGCCCTTGGCCCTGCTCTGGGGGCAAACTGAGATGGGGGATATTTTGACATTCGTTCATTTAACGAATATCTCCAAAGGGCTATGTTAGAAGCATGACTCGGCCTTCCCTGCCTTTAGGTCTGACTCTGCTTTGTCCTATTCTCTTGAGAGCTCCTCCACAGCGCTCATGCATGGGATGCCCGGGTTTCCATAGCCCATCTTTGGCTCACTTCTCTTTCTTTCCCACTCCCGCAATAGTGTTATCCATTCTCAATTGCTGTTGATAATGCTGGCCATTTCTAAATCAGTATTTCCAACCCCAGCTTCCCCCTCCTTCTCTTTAGATTTTTTTTTTTTTAATTGTCCACTGGACATCTCTACAGGCATGTCCAAGTATTATTTCTCTTGAATTCCCATCCTGGTGACCTTCATTACAATATACATGGGCCCACCAGCCAGAAACATTTATGGGCTTAAATTCCTTCTTCCTACATGGTATTAGTCACCATATCACACCCTTCCATTCTGACACTTTCTGAAGTTCAGCTGTTCCTTTCCCCTTCTTGATTTACAGAGCATGGGATTTGGAGTCAGGTTGGTTTGGTTTTGAATTCCAGCTCTATCATTTTTGGTTGTGTAATAGAGTTATTTAACCTCTCTGGAGCCTCAGTCCTCCCATATGTAAAATGATGATAATAATACCTACCTCACAGGGTTGTTGTGAGGATTTAAATTAGATATTGTACGAAAAGTGCCCAGCACAGTGCCTGGCACACAATAGAGTAGGTGCTCAATAAATGGTAGCTATTATTATTATTATTATTATTATTATTATTATCATCATCACTACTGACTTACTGTGAACTGCCATACTTTGGGGGTATGTTGGGAAGAGAACGCTTTTGCAAAGATAGACATGAAGGTTTGAATGGTGGGTCAAGGGTTAGAAATTTCTGGTTTAGGTCCCTGAATAATGTCACAAAGTGACAAAATGTGAGACAGATCACAGATCTACATTCTGCTGAGTCCTGGCTTCCAGAAGGAAGTTGCTAGGAATAGTAGAGCTCGGACCAGATTTACTGCCTCCCCCCCACCCCCCCCACCCCCCCGTTCTGCCAAGCAGTCTCCAGCCTGCTCAGGCAACAAGATGCCTCTATCTGCTGAGAGAGAAGAACCAAATTTTCTTGATTTGCCAACAACCAGACAGGATCAGGTAGGCTGTTTATGTCCAGGATTGGCACTGCCTCATTCTTTCAGTCTGGATAGCATGAGAAATGAGGTGTTGTTTAATTTAATTTTGTTTTTTGGCCTTTTTTGACTTTTCAAGATAGGGTTTCTCTGTGTAGCCTTGGTTCTCCTGGATCTAGCTCTGTAGACCAGGCTGGCCTTGAACTCAGAGATCTGCCTGCCTCTGACTCCTGATTCCTGGGATTAAAGGCATACTCTACCACCACCCAGCTGAGAAATGGGATTTTTTTTAGTTTCATGCCCAACTAAACTGGGGTGGAGGGGAAACAGAAACAGGGTTTCTTTTGTATCCCAGACAGTCTTGGAATTCCCTATTTAGACCAGGCTGGCCTCAAATTCATAGAAATGCTTTTGCCTTTACCTCCCAAGCGCTGGAGTTTGTACCCCACAGTCAAAGGTTTAGCTGAGAAAAACACTTAACTAGTTTTGCCAAACATTAGTTTCTCCCTTCCCAGCCTTTCTCTTTAGCTAATTATCCCTAGGGAAGAGCTCAGTCCTGTCTGGAAAATATATAAAACCTTGGGAGACTCAAACGTGGTGTTAAAAACCAGCAAATTCAGCACTAACAGGCTCGTGCCAAGTGGTGTTTGTAAAGTGCATATAGACAGTCTTCGGAATCTGGAGACAATAAAAGACTACAGTAATTCAAAACAAACAGCTTTGGGCTCTTAAAACCTTCCAAACATCTAACTAGGAACAGGCAGAATTGCAGAGACTACACTTCCCATGGTAACTCAGTGAAGCAAATGACTAAGTGGAATGCACCACGACGCGTATTGCAAGTAAGACGCAACGCACTAAAGCCCGGCGTCGCCTCTCTTGAAGACAGTCGGTAGTTGTAGTTTTGCTAAACCTAGGGCGCTCGGAATTATTTGCTTGAAAGCTGCGGGGCCTGATGGGACATGTAGTCGCTGCTGGAGGCAAGCGCGCAGGCGCAGCTGAGATCGGGGCGGGGCGGGAGCACTGCAGTGAAAGCAGAGGCAGCGGACAGGCGAGCAGGGGGCGGGCGGACATCTTGGGATCTGAGAGTGGCCAGGCCGGCCTTGTTGGGGCTGCTGACTCCAGGTGAGCCGGGAAGCTGGAATTACGGGTCTTTACCGGGGCGGCGAAGGCTCCATGGTCGCCTGCCCTGCCCTGCCCTGCGCCGGGTGGAAAACTGGCCGCACACGGGAGTGGCCCCAGCCTTCAGCTCCGGGAGGGAGCAGACGGCCGGGCGGGGGTGCCTGGGGCGCGATTGCAGCAAGGGCGGGGAGCGACGCCCTCCGCCCTCCAGTAACCCGCCGGGCGTCTCTGGGGAGAGGCACCGGCCGGAGTCCTAGAGCCGGGACGCCGCGCGGCGCCCCATCCCTAGAATCCTGACAACCGCTCAACCCTGAGGTTTCCCATTTCCCCCATCCCCCAGACAGTGACATCCCGTGGTGCCACTCCCTTGGACAGTGACAGGTCTTGAACCTTGCTATATTCCTTCTTCTGGTTTACCCCCCACGGCTCTTCTCCCGCTGACCTGTGACAGCCCCCGCCCGCATCCCGTGGTGCCATCTCCGCGGCTCGAATGTCTCCTTCCTCCGCAGAGAACCCCATCAGCCCCTCATGCCTCACGAACCGCAGAGTAGGCCCTGTCTCTTAGCTTTCCTTTTTTTCTACTATCAGTTTATTTCCGCCGATTTTTGCTTCTTCATAGCTCCTATGACCTCTGCCATAGGAGCACCTTAGGGACTCCCACAGCTGTATTTTCTTCTGTGAGCTCATCCTCGTACATTGCTAGCAATTACTGCTAACCGGTCCCTTAATTATTCCATTCCTGTCGAGGACACACACACACACCAACCTTCACCTGCATTTCTAGTGCCCTGAACTACCTACTATTTGATACCTGTGGACTTGGTCCTTTGCTCAGGGCTCAACCTCCATTTTGCTTTTTTTTTTTTTTCTCTCAGCTTTGGGACTGAGAGAAGAGTGTGTCCACTACCTTAACAGACTTGTCATTGGTCTTGAGTTTATTTTCCAGTTTCAAAAACTCTATTAAACTAACATCAGTGAAATTAATTCCTGGGCTAATCCAGAAAATCTAGAACCAGATTAACCCCTTTTCTCAAGTAGTCTAAATTAGTTTTGACCCAAATAATTTGGGCAGCTGAGGCATTCTCTTATCCCTGCCTATTGCTTATAAACATCAGGCCAGAAGTGAGTCAGTTGCTGGGCAGATCTAGAGACATAAATTAGATGGCAGGATTGATGCTACTACACACAGACCTTATTTTTACTGAACTTGGAAATTTTGGAAGGACAGAGACCTGAAATAACCGTAAAGGGGGCTCAGCTTTTAAGAGTACTTACTGCTCTTCTAAAGAGCTGATTTCAGACCCCAGCACCCATATCATTTGGTTCACAACTGCCTGTAACTCGGGCTCTGGGGGATCTGACACCTAGCTTCCACACATACCGCATTCACACTGGCATGTGCACATGTGAAGGTAAAATATGAAATCTTTTTAAAAGAATTATAAAAGTGTGTATGTCGGCACTGGGGCCTCAGTTCCTTTGCTTGTTTATCTCACTGCCTGGGAAAGATGTGCCTGCTTCAGCCACATTCCTGGGTCCATGTTACAGCCTAAAGGCCTCCTCTCCCACCCCCACCCCTACCTCACCCTGTACACCTTTTCCTGGAATGTGCAGGCTTCTAGAGGTTCACGCTCTGCTGCCTTCTTGGAAGGGTAGTACTTGCTCCAAAGGTTGTGCCTGGTGGCGGACCCGGACCCAAGCTAACTAGAATAATTCCTACCGCCATTTCTGCAAGGCAGGCCAGCCTTCTCACTCCAGTGACTCACTGGAAGGAGCCTGAGTGACTGTCTGCACAGCAGGGGGTTGAAAAGAATCTTTGCTGAGCTCAGCACTGTGAAGAAGGGTGGGGGTTATTCTCCCGATCAGCCCACGGAAAAGAGTGGGTGGAAATGCCTTTAATCCTGGGCCCCACACTCTTTAAATTGCTTTCTCCTATCCAGTGTGGAATAAACAGGAACTGGAGCCTAGCTGAGGGGGGAGGGACTTCCTTGGGAGAGCTGCAGGGTCACTTGCTGGAGGACTGAGTCAGGAAAAAAGCACTGTAGACCTGGTCAAGGGTTCTGAAGATCTTCCCTTCCCCTGCCCTTCCCTTTCCTACCTAGGTCTATTCTCAGCAATGGGTCACAGAGACTGAACTGCCACCATGATTGGAGGCTTATTCATCTATAATCACAAGGGGGAGGTGCTCATCTCCCGAGTCTACAGAGATGACATCGGGTAAGTTCCTTCGCTGAGCATGCCGCGTCCCAAACTCCTTGTCGCCTCAGCCTGAGCATGCAGTGTAGCCTGGTTCCTGGACATTGGCCTAGCAGCTAGGCTCAGGCCGGCGGAATGGCACTCACCCCCAACGCTCCAGACTTAGAAATTCCTGCCCTTCCTACCCGTGAATCTCTTGGTATATAGGTCTGGTGGCTGGAGATGAGTGCTTTTTCCCGGTCTGGTTGGTTCTTCCTTTCAGGCGGGAGCAGCAGCTCCAACAGGGTACTAATCCATCTAAATCTTGCTTTCAAATCCTTCTCATATTTTGAGCCTTCCCTAGATCCCTGTTGACTCGGCTTTTTTCAGTTCTGGGCCTTGCCTGGTTGTGAACAGGCTTGCTGCACTCTATGGGTCATGCGGCCTCTGCAGTTCGTCTGGGGGGACCCCAGTAGCTCCGTGTCTTAAGACCTCAGGCCTTCTAAAGAGCTCACTGAAGCCTCCCCTCTCACTCTTCCACACTATGGCTCGTCGCTGACTAAGAGATCCTTCCGTGCTCTAACCTGAGGCTATGCGTCTCTGATTCTTCCAACCTTGTTTTTCTTTCTCAAAGAACTTGAGATAAATAGACCTCTGGTGGCTCTCCTATCTTCTTGTATCCCTGGCTGGTGGGCTTGCTTGGTGTGGCCTTTGTGGCTGTATCCATTGTTTGGTGGTCAAGCTGAGCTAGGTTTTGTGGCAGTGCCTAGCCTAAGTGACCCTGGCTGGCTCCACCCCTTCCTGTTCCTCCCACCTCTGAGGTCCCGGTTTATGACACAGCTGGGCCACATGACACCCTGCATGCTTTAGTGTGTGCTCTACCTGTTTGCCTGTCTTGTCTTCTTGTCTGCTTCCCCCTCATGGGATGTGCTGCCCCTCCCCCCAGGCCTTGGTGTGTTGTGGGTCGTCTAACCCTATCTCTCCTTGCTGTCACTCTCCTCTTCTTGCTGGCGTCATTTCTCTCATCCCATCTCATTGGCTGATATAGCAATAGGTAAGCAGCCTGTCAAGCTGCCGCTCAGGTACAGGCGGGTAGGGAATCCAATCCCCCCCCCCCCAAAAAAAAAAATCGCTCTCCTTCATCATTTTTCATCCCCTTAACTTCAGGAGTTGGATCTTAGAAAAGAATTGGGTGGCATAGTCCATAGCCCCGTCTCACCGTCTAGAATAGAGTCTTCTCTGAGGTCATACTAGCTTTGTCCAACTTCCAGAGGAGTTGGCTTTCCCCATTGGTTGCGGGCCCAATTGAGATCTTTTTTTCTTCATGGCCTAGAACGTCCTAGAAGGCTAGAGAGGTGACATCTGGGGTATATGTGGGGAGTTAAAGTCAGGCCTGGGGGTCAGTTTACTGATACCACACCTACCCTTCCATCACTTACCATTTTACTTCCCTATTTCATATGGCCTTCAGATAGCAGCCCAATGTGTGCTCTCTTCCCATGACCCTACTGGGTGCTATAAGAAGGGAGCCTGGTGGTGTAAGCCTTGACTTTTGAATAACTATCAGGTTTCGTTGTTGTGGAGGGTGGAGTTGCCCGCACCTCTAGGTGATCCTCCTGGGTTAAGGTCCGCTTGGATGCGGGAACAGCTTCTTTGCCTCCTTTTCTCTCAGGAGGAACGCTGTGGATGCCTTCCGGGTCAATGTGATTCATGCGCGGCAGCAGGTGCGAAGCCCTGTCACAAACATCGCTCGCACCAGCTTCTTCCATGTTAAGCGGTCCAACATCTGGCTAGCAGCAGTCACCAAGCAGAATGTCAACGCCGCCATGGTCTTCGAATTCCTCTATAAGATGTGTGATGTAATGGCTGCTTACTTTGGCAAGATCAGTGAGGAAAACATCAAGAACAATTTTGTGCTCATATACGAGCTGCTGGATGGTGAGGCATTGGAGGGTTCATGGCCACGGTAGGGATTAACCTAATTGGGAGGGATCTGGAGACTCCAGCATACTCTGACCATTGTTTCTTGAGCCTCTGATCTCTTAGTTGATGGTCTCTGTGATACAGCCAGTCCAAATTCAGACCTAAAGGCTGTTTTGAAGTAGAATACAAAAATAGGCCAGCATGTGGGGTGAGGAAGGTTTGGTCTTTGATGGGGTTAAGAACCTGATGGGGAGGTTTTTGTGGCTGAGCTGCCTATATTAGTCTCCTATCTTTGCAGTTTGAGCCTTAGTTCACAAACTGTCTTCCCACCTCTCATCTCGGCACTACTTCAGAAGCCAGAGAAGAGGAAGTCTTTTAGATCCCTTTGGCTGTCCTCTTTCCTCTCTATAGTCTGTGACAGCTTCCTCTTTAACATCTGTTTTCTGGAGAAAATGAGGGCTCAATGATTGATTTTTTTTTTTTTTTTCAAGACAGGGTTTCTCTGTGTAGCCTTGGCTGTCCTGCACTCACTTTATAGACTAGGTTGGCCTAGAACTCAGAGAGATTCACCTGCCTCTGCCTCCTGACTGCTGGGATTACAGGCATGCCCCACCACATTCAGCTTAAAAAGTTATATTTTCTTATGAAGAATAAATCATAGGCTGAATACTCTTAAGCTAGAAGACTTTGCTGTACATCAGGACCTGTGCTAACCAAGTATATCCAGGCCAGAGGAAGGACTGGCATGAAGGAGCCTTTGGTTTTGTTTTTTTTTGTTTGTTTGTTTGTTTGTTTGTTTTTCTAAAATCTAATAATTTACTTCTTTTTGTTTTTGAGGCAGAGCATCTCTATGTAGCCTTGGCTGTCCTGGAACTGGCTCTGTAGACGAGGCTGGCCATAAGCTCAGAAAGCCACTTACCTCTGCCTCTGGAGTGCTGGGCTTAAAGGCATGCACCTCACTTCCAGGCTATATAATTCCCTTCTTTTCACAGAGATTCTGGACTTTGGCTATCCACAGAACTCAGAGACAGGTGCACTGAAAACCTTCATCACCCAGCAGGGCATCAAGAGTCAGGTACTTAAATTGTACAAGAGTACAAGTAGGGTGGACCCCGGACTCCTTTCCTTCCTCTTGATCCCCAGCTTTATCTTAGCTGACTCATGAGACTGCCCTTGACGGGAAGTGCTGGCCTCAGCCTCCTGCCATGACTGTGGCCTGTTTTGTTCTGGGTAGCTCTCCTACCCCAGAAGCTGCCAACTCGGCATCTCAATTACCAGGAATATAGCTCAGTTGGTTTCTTCTACACAGAGGGCAGGGGGTGTGGCTGCTCTGGAGGCCTTGTGTTCGTCAGAAGAGCACTCGGCCTCTCCTCTCAGGCTGAAGCCTCATAGCTTTTTCTCCCTTTTTTGCTTACCATGCTGCTTCCTGTTGGAATCTTGCTGGCTCTGCGTCTTCTAGCATCAGGTAAGTTGTTCCCTCACTTTTCTCTTTGTGTCTTTGCTCTGTTCTACACTTGCCCTGTAAAGGTTGGGAGGGAGGATGGGTTACAGAGTAATGAACAGAAGGGAGAGTGATAGGTTGGAGTGAGAGGGAAATGAGGTAATAGGCCACCTTTACCCCATCCAGACAAAAGAAGAACAGTCGCAGATCACCAGCCAGGTGACTGGGCAGATTGGCTGGCGGCGGGAAGGCATCAAGTATCGCCGAAATGAACTCTTCCTAGATGTTCTGGAGAGTGTAAACCTGCTTATGTCCCCACAAGGTGAGAGCCTTCTCATGATGCAACCCGAGGGGCCAGGGCAGATGCCGGCCTGTTGGCTTGGCTTAGCTGCTTGTCTGTTGTCTGTTCTGTCACCAGGGCAGGTGCTGAGTGCCCACGTGTCAGGCCGGGTGGTGATGAAGAGTTACCTGAGTGGCATGCCTGAGTGCAAGTTTGGAATGAATGACAAGATTGTCATTGAAAAGCAGGGCAAAGGCACAGCTGATGAAACAAGCAAGAGGTACCTGAGTCTGGGAGCTCAAGGGAAGCAAAGATGGGTGAACCTTTGAGAGCTGAATGAGGCCCAGTGAACCACAGAGTTCTCTCGGACTTCATTTCTGCTGGATTTATTAATTCTGTTTCCAAAAGCATCCTTGGCCGGTTAGTCTTGGCATCGGTGATAGACAGATAAAGGCTTTTGTCCTCAGAGAGCAAGCTCCTTTGTTTGGTCCCCAGCAGCAGGGTTCTCAGGTAATAATGAACCTGAATGCTCTCTCCCTCACTTCAAACTGGAGGGCAGGTCTCCCAAGTCAGAAAGCTGTGTTCCACAGCTTCCCATAACCTGTGTGGCTAGCCTGCTGTGGCATGGTCCCATAGTCTGACACATACGGTCCCTGTGAGCGTTCTGTTTGTGTTTGCAGCGGTAAGCAGTCGATTGCCATTGATGACTGCACCTTCCACCAGTGCGTGCGACTCAGCAAGTTTGACTCGGAGCGAAGCATCAGCTTCATCCCCCCTGATGGAGAGTTTGAACTCATGAGGTGCCATGGGGATGTGAGGAGGCAGGGGGTACATGAGGAAGAGGTGGGAGGAAGAGAGTGGGAGTGGCTCTGTGCTATCAAACCTGATCTCTCCTCCAAAGATACCGCACTACCAAGGACATCATCCTTCCTTTCCGGGTGATTCCGTTGGTGCGGGAAGTGGGACGCACCAAACTGGAGGTCAAGGTGGTCATCAAGTCCAACTTCAAGCCCTCACTTCTGGCCCAGAAGATTGAGGTGAGGACTGGAGACTTGGAGACCTAAAACTTGTCTCGGGTAGTAAAGACAGATGATATTAGGTCTTAACAGAATTCACTGACAGGTGTGTCTCTCCTAGGTGAGGATCCCAACCCCACTGAACACAAGCGGGGTGCAGGTGATCTGCATGAAGGGGAAGGCCAAATACAAGGCCAGCGAGAACGCCATTGTATGGAAGTGAGTCTTAAGGAGGCCACAGCCCCAGGCCCAAGATGCCGTAGTGTGCCTTCTTGTTAAGTTTCACCTTCTGTCCTCTTATGTGGATTATGGGGTGAGAGAAGCATGCACGCTTCTCCAGGAACCTGTGCTTGTATTGCGAGCTTTACTGTGCCTGTGCGTGCGCTTCTGCCTGTACTTGAGCTCATATATGTGTCTACTCAAGAGTATTGCCCACTGGCCTTTTGTCTTGTGTGTCCGCAACATACAGTCTGGGTAAGGGAGATCTCACCCATCCATCTAAAAAGAAATTACAGCCCCAAGTGCTGAAGGTGTAACAAATGGTTATCAGGTTTCTGACCTCTTCCTTATCCTGGCACCTCCCATCGCTCGTAGCCTCTTATTTCCTCTCCCTCTCCATGCTTGAAACAAGCAGTCCCTACTCTGAAAATTCTCCAAACTACCACTGGCTCCTGCTGCCCATTGCCCCTGTGTTCCTAGGATCAAGCGCATGGCAGGCATGAAGGAATCACAGATCAGCGCAGAGATTGAGCTTCTGCCCACCAACGATAAGAAGAAATGGGCACGACCCCCCATTTCCATGAACTTTGAGGTAAGGCAGAGGAGGGGCCTAATGCCATGGCTGGGTGTGACTGGAAAGCCAGGGGTATTCAGTGTTGCTTCTTAGAGATGAGGAGACTGGGCCCACTGGGACGTATCTTAAAGTGATAGACCCATTCCGTTGTAGACCTCTTAATAGAAACTGAAATTTAACCTGACTAAAAGCTTCAATGTCTCTTGGCTGTCACAAAATAGTTCTTGAGAAACATTTGGATTGAAAGGAACTTAAGAGAATTTCGCTGAAATAAGGCAAGGAGCTGACTTTGCTTTGTGTGAATTAAACATACTCTTTTCTCCACTTTATTTTTCCAGTCCATAGTACTGACAAGGATAAGTATTTTCAAAGGTTCTTCTCTGGAACCTCCTAATGATTAAAGGAATGGTTCTCATCCTCACAACTGGGGCCTTGTTCAGACATGAGACAATTGCTAGTAACTCAGATAATCTCTCTTCATGTAGTAATTGCCCAGGAAGCTCCCCCACTCTAGCGTTCTGCTGCTTCAGGGCTCATTCAAAACCACCTGTGGTAGATGAAGGGATGAACCATGAACCTTGCTAGAGTAGAGCCACTGTGTTGCTAACTAGAGCTATCCCCCGCTCAGGTGCCGTTCGCGCCTTCTGGCCTCAAGGTGCGCTACTTGAAGGTGTTCGAACCGAAGCTGAACTACAGCGACCATGACGTCATCAAATGGGTGCGGTACATTGGCCGCAGCGGCATTTATGAAACCCGCTGTTAGCTGCATAGTGGCGGCTGGCCCATCTCCCCACCCACCCTATTCAGCAAGTCCAAGCACCCCCAGTGACCACTCATCAGTGTCTTTCCTCCCTCCTGCTGCGCCGCCCTTCCTTTACAGCAGCCCCCGAGTGTAGGTCTGAACCAGCCATATCACAGTGGGACCTGCGAGGCAGTCCCTGGCTTCCTGGGCAGGGTGATTTTTGAGGTTTCTCTTCCATCTGTCTGTCCTGGCTTAGTGCCAGGCCTTGAGTTTTGTGACCAAAGCCAGGTGGCCCCCTCTTCTCTCTACCCTTGTGGCCACACCTCTGCAGTGGGAAGGCTGACTACCTTTCACCTCAGAGGTCCCCCCAAAGGCCAGTAACAGATCCCAACCCCTTAGTCCCTACTCTGCTTTGGGATAGTATGAGCTTTGTTTTGTACACGTGTGACTTTGTCCAGTTATAAACCCAATAAACTGTAGAGTGGAGTTGCTGGCTAAGTGTTAATGGGCCTATCGGGAGGGTCTGGTGGAGTCCTGGCTGTCCTGGAACTCTGTGTGTAGACCAGGCTGACCTCAAACTTACAGAGATCCCCCTCCCTCTGCCTTCTGAGTGCTGTTATTAAAGTGTGCACTACCATGCCAGGCTGTGTTCTGTTGGCATCTTGTTGCATGTAGCCCAAGCTACCATAGAACTCACTTTATAGACCAGACTGGCTTTTTTTTTTTTTTAAACCTTATTTTTATTTTATGTACATTGGTGTTTGACTGCATGCATGTCTATGTGAGAGTGTCAGGTCCTCTGGAACAGAAGTTACAGATAGTTGTGAGCTGCCATGTGGATACTGGGAATTGAACCCAGGTCCTCTGGAAGAATGGTCAGTGCTCTTAACCACTGAGCCATCTCTGCAGCCCCTGGGCCTTGAATTCTTGGTGATCCCTTTGCCTCTGCTTCCCAAGTGCTGGCATTACAGACTTGTGTCTCCTCCTGGGCTTTGTTTGCTTTGCGATGGGCTTTCCTTATGTGAGCTCAGATGGCTGGATTCAGGGTCCTCCTGCCTCCACCTCCCAAGAGCATTGTTGTAGAGGTAAAGTTTTTCTAGTTAGCACAAGTCAGGGAAGAGTTGCATTTGTTCTCGCAGCTACCCTGCAAAGCTGACATCTTAACCCCATCCATTTCTCATTTAAGCTAGGTTTGTTCCAGTGTTGCTGTGTGAACCACCAGAGGAAAGATAATTATTTTCCCCCTCATCCTAAGGGCACTGTCCCAAATATTTTGTGTGTTAGGACAGAGAAAGAGTAGGTTTGCCCTCACCAGGTACAGCTTGCCAGGTTTCAGCTTTTTTAAACTTAAAAAAAAAAATTCTGCTAGAGTAAATTTCAAAAATAAGCAGAATAATATAACAAACCCCTATGTCCTAGCACCCAGCTTCAACAGTAACCAGCTCACAGCCACTGTGTGGTAACTTACCCTACACAGGTTGCATCGGGGTCCCCTGCACCTAGAGTTGTAGGCAATTTATGAGTTGCCTGATGTGTATACTAAGAACTAAACCTGGGTCCTCTGTAAGAGCAGTATGTGGGCTTAACCACGGAGCCATTTTTCCAGCTCCTAATGTGTTTATTTTTAAACAAGTTTCTTTTTTATTTTACCTCTATGAGTGTTTTGCCTGCACCATACATGCAGTACTCTCCGATGCCAGAAGGGGGCATTGGATCCCCTGAGACAGCCCAGAATGGCCTCAAATGGCCTGGATTACAACAGGCATATGGGTATATTCAGCTTTATTAAGATGGGAGGAGAGTTGAAAGGAGGCCTCATATGGCCCTAGAATGGCCTTGAACTCATTTTGTAACTGAAGGGTCACCTTGAATTCCCCTCACCCCAGACAGGTTTTTCTTATGTAGCCCTTACATTTCCTGGAACTCTGTAGATCAGGCTGGCTTTGAACTTAAAGAGATCCGCCTTTCTCCGCCTCCTGAGTGCTGGGATGAAAGGTGGATGCCACCACTGCCCAGAGGCCTTGAATTCTTGATCCTTCTATCACTGCCTCCCAAATGTTGAGGTTGCAAGCCTGCTGCCACACCCAGTTTTATGAGGTGCTGAGGATCAAACACAAAGCTTCAGGCATGGTAGAGAAGCATTCTACCAACTAAAGTTATATATAACCTCAGGCATGCTGAGAACTTTTTTAAACTTTTAAAGACCAAGACTGGCTCCCCACTGCAGGAACACTTACAAGGGATGAATGGACAGTCCACTGTAGTGACAATTCCAGCACTTGTGCGATAGGCAGGAGGTCAGGAGTACTCAGTTGCCTTGTGCTATCACGGGACATTGTCTCAAAAGGATACGCGTGTAATTTGAGCGCATCAGGAATTCTCATGTTGAGCATAAAGCAATAGCGTTATTTAGGAACAAAGTCTCCACTTATGCAAATTAAGACACTGAAATTCAGGGTGCAAAAAAATCTGCTTTGTCTATTGACCGAGGATAAACAATGAATTTACAAAGGGCTTCTTGTTCGGCTTTTCCGGCGATGGGTGAGGTTGTCCCTTGGGGTGGTGGAAGAACAGAAGAGCAACAATTCTCAGTGACCCCGTGGAACACCTGTGAAGTGTGAAGGAACTGAGCACAGCGAAAAGGGGCAGGTGGAAGGTCGGTCATCACCAAGCCGATTCAACTGGCTGGACTAAACGAAACCGACAGACACTCTGGGACGGACAGAACAGAACGCCAAAGGTTGGCGTGAGTCAGCAGAACGCCGCGGCCTAAAGCTCTGGGTGGGCGCACAGCGGCAGGGGCCTGCGGGGGAGGCGTCCAAGCTGGCAAAGCGGCCCCTGGGGCGGGACTCCCCTCGCAGCAGCGTGTGCTCGCGCTCCCGCAGCTCCACTACACCCACCGGCACCAGCTCCACTTTCCAGAAGGCACAGGCGGCGATTCAGGCGTGAGGCAGGGATTGCGCAGGCGCGGACAGGGCCGCGCCAGCTGGACTCCGCGGCGCTTGCGTGTAGTTCTGCTAGCCCCGCCCCCTGGGCTCTACTCAGCCTCTGCTTTCTTACGTCATCACCGCGCATGCTCCTTGAGAGGAGTGTTGCTCTTTCGGGGAAGGGGGAGGAAGGGCAAGGGAGGCGGTCCTAGGCCCAGGTCGTACTACGACTGCGCAGACGGGATCCCGGGTGAACATGGCGACTTGCGCCGATATCCTGCGGAGCGAGTTCCCAGAAATTGACGGGCAGGTCTTCGACTACGTGACCGGTGAGCGAAACTGAATAAACTGCCCGAGGAGGCGGAAGTGGAGGTCGTGGGGGAAGACTGAGGGCAGGCCGTGCCGCAGACCGCTACCCAGTCTCTCCCCTGCGTGACCTCTTATCTTGAGGGCCGGTGGGGTCTGGAGCCCTGAGTGGGCTGAACAGACGCTGAAACTGCTCGACCATCCGCCCTACCCGGTGTCTTTCTTGTTCTGCGGTGCCCGGCCCAGGTGTCTTGCACAGCGGCAGCGCGGACTTCGAGTCTGTGGATGACCTGGTGGAGGCTGTGGGGGAACTATTGCAAGAAGTGTCCGGGGACAGCAAGGATGACGCGGGCATCAGGGCTATCTGTCAGCGCATGTACAATACTCTACGCCTGTAGGTGCCAAGGGAATGAAGTTGATGGGCGAAGGGAGGCGAATGGAGTACAAACTAGGGGGAAAGTCTGAAAGCTGTAAATCTTTTCTCCCAACTGACTACGTTCTATCCCTACCCACGTAGGGCCGAGCCACAGAACCAGGGAAACAGCCAGGTGCTACTGGACACCCCCATCCAGTTGTCAAAGATAATGGAAAACTACGGTGAGAGTGAGGGGAGATTGAACTAGCTGCCTTCTGCCTCCACCCCAGCCACCTGCTCCGTTGCAGCTCAGGACTCTCTTCGTCTCTTCTACAACAAGGCTTGTAGGAGCTAGTGGTATTTTTGTGAACAAACGCTTGTGATGAAGAATAGGGTTGGAGGGTTCTCCAAAGCTGTTGACTATAGTAGGAGGCATATAGGCCTTGGAGCGAAACAGATTTGGTTTTGCCAGTTTGTATCTTAACCAAGAGCATAGTCTTAAAGAGCACAGCAGCCTCTACTTAAATGTGAGATCTATTTGGTTTTTACCTCAAGACTAATAGCCATCTATTCCAGTGTCATAAACTGTCTTTAAAACTGTTCTTAGTTCTTGTTAGTCACTCAAAGTCTTCATTTCCCTTCCCTCGTGGAGAAGGTGACTGCTTTTCTTATCACTTACAGACTGTGACACCAAACTTCCAGCACTGCTAAAGAGGGAACAGTCCTCGGTGAGGAGGAGCAAGGGGAAGGGGCTTTGTGTCTATGGTGGGTGTGAGAATTGACTGTCTAAATAGGGGTGTACTTGGGTGGAGAGAGTTCTGGTGTGTCTTTCCCTGAACCATTGATCCTGTATCATCATGGGTAAGTTTAAGGGCTTGCTTGAAGCGTTCTCTGGAATTCTTTTTTGAACCTGTACCCTAGTGTGAACTAGGCTGTGTTTGGAATTCACTCAGACAGTAAATGCAAAGAAACTGGAGAAGGCTGAAGCTCGGCTGAAGGCCAAGCAGGAGAAGCGCTCCGAGAAGGAAACCCTGAAGACCAGTGGCCCGCTGTGAGTTTAGGAAGAAGGGAACAGGACAGACTCTGGTATTGCAGGGCTGTCGGGAGCCCTAAAAACTGCCCATTTCTCCTTTTAAAAGAGTCTTGGAGGAGGCCTCGGCTAGCCAAGCAGGCAGCAGAAAAGAGAGCCGGTTGGAGTCATCTGGCAAGAACAAGTCCTATGATGTTCGAATTGAGAACTTCGATGTGTCTTTTGGTGATAGGTGAGGGAATGGCCAGCAACACAATCAATCTTTCTAACTAAAGGAGAATCTGGAGCCATGAAGAGGGACTAACACAGTGTTGAAGTCCCTTTGCATCTGTTTCTGGACCATTCTTCATCTCTTTCCTACCACCCCTTCAGGGTACTGCTGGCTGGAGCAGATGTGAACTTAGCATGGGGCCGACGCTATGGGCTGGTGGGACGCAATGGTCTGGGGAAGACGACATTGCTAAAGATGCTGGCCACCCGAAGCCTGCGGGTTCCATCCCATATCTCCCTGCTGCATGTGGAGCAAGAAGTCGCAGGAGATGACACCCCTGCCCTGCAGAGTGTGCTGGAAAGTGACACCGTCCGGGAGGACCTGCTCCGGCAGGAGCGGGAGCTCAGCATCAAGATCGCGGCTGGCAGGTGAAGGCTTCAGGCTAGAGGGCACATGCAATAGCTGTCTGTCTTGGTCGGGTTTTGTTAACTTGACACAAACTATAGAGTTATATGGGAAGAGGCACCTTAATTGAGAAAGTGCCTTCACTGATTGGCCTGTGGGCAAGCTTGTGGTGCTCATTGTGATTGTGGACCCAACCCTGGCCTGTTGGTACCAGGTTGAATAAGAAAGCAGGCTGAGCAAGCCAGTAAGTAA